GGGGGGGGGGGGGGGAGAGAAAGAGAGAGACCGAAATAAGGAAGAAGAAAAGAAGAAAAGAAGGAAAAGAAGACACGTTTCTCGAGAGGGAGAGAAAGGCGTGCATGGTTAAGAACAGTCGACTGAAACAAAAGGCGGAGCGTGGAGAAACGTCTGAGCATCGCTTCGCATTGTGTTTTATGCTGGAACGGGTTTTAAATAAAAGAGTAATGTGTTTGTCCGTTGCCACCACCACCCCACCACCGTTACCACTACCGCAGCCGCCACCACCGCCCCCTCCCCCTCCGCCTCCACCACCACACCACCACCATCACACCGCGCCCGTCATCGTCACCACCATCACCGCGCGCGCCGTACGGAAGATACACACGGTTGACTTCGGGGTGAGTACCGTGAGTGGGCAAAGGTAGGTAGGTGGGTACGCGGCTAGGTATGTCCCCCTTTCACTCCACAGCAGATATAAACTCTTAACATCTCCGTTTGGTACAGCGCGAGCCTGCCAATCGGCGGCCGGTAGAGGCGTGGCTGTGGCTCGGTGAGGCTTCGCGTTTGGCCGAGGTCTCGGGGTGGAACACTGTGGCACAGTGTTTTATTTCGCGCTCGCGTGGAGGGGATCGTTAGTTTCTGCCTCCCTCCTCGAACGTGGATCCGCGCGCCCTTATTCTCTCTCTCTCTCTCTCGCGTTCTCCTCTATCGGCGTAGACTGTGGCCCCGTTGAGCTCCCACTTTGCTGCCGTGCCGCACTACTACCGCCTCTCCGTCTATCCGCGCGCGCTACCTACCTGAATCGACTCACCCGGGATGCTGCAATTGTTGACAATGCCGGCGAGCGAGAGGGAGTGAGAGGGGGCGAGAGCGTGTGTCACGGGATGCGGTTCCGCATTTCGGCCCCCGGCAGCCGAACGAGAGGGTGTTGTTCTCCGTACGACAGCCGCGCGTACCAACTTATGGAAGAAGAGGCGCGTGCGCGTGTACTATTGCAGGCGCTTACTTATTACCTTACTTCACTTACTTGCTCCTGCCGCGAACGATCGTAAGCGTGAGATTTTACCATGTCTCCATGGTGGTGCGCGTAAAGACCTGATTGATCAGGTGACTCGTCGCGGCGCGCACCGAGGGTACCAGAGAGGACGCGTGCGATGAGGATGAGTGTCGTTGAGTACGCAGTTTCGCGCCCGGCTCGGATCCTCCACGGCGCGCGGTGATCGCGCAAGTGATCGCAAGTGATCGCGCAAGTGATCGCAAGTGATCGCGCAAGTGATCGCAAGTGATCGCACAGCTTCTACTCACGGAGAGTACTACACATACTCGGAGAGATCCTGTCGACGACGAGCAGTGCGATCATGTCATTACCCCGCGGCGTCGGTCTCGGCGTTGACGTGGGCCAACTGATGCAACACCAGCAACAGCAACAGCAACATCATGTGCTGCCGGCCGCGTTCTTCTTGCGCGCCAGTGCCGAGAGGTATCAGCGGACCCCCAAGTGTGCGCGATGTCGTAATCACGGAGTTGTGTCCGCGCTCAAGGGACACAAGCGCTATTGCCGATGGCGAGATTGCGTGTGTGCCAAGTGCACCCTTATCGCCGAGAGGCAACGCGTCATGGCTGCTCAGGTATATATACATATAATTCAGATTTCCTGGGAAAATCTGCTGTACGCGCAAAAATGACAAGTTTCTCATATTTCTTTTTTACGCGGCTCTACTTTTCTCTAAACCATCTCAAATTTTTCGCTTCTTCAAACAAGCGATATTCTACTTTAAATCGTTTTAAAAACGCAAGTTTTTTTTTCTATCAAATAATGCAATTTTATTTGCAGACTTGAAATAATTATCGGCGTATAAAGTGCAGGATTATAATTCCGACACGAAATTTCGGTTATTTTGAAAAAATACTGAAAAAATGTGTCAATAGATCGTTAATTGTCTAATCATTTTCATTATTGCGATTAAATTTAAAAGGAATTTTTATCTCTATTATGCACCTAACGTTCATTTTAATTTCCCGACAGGGAGAGAGAGAGAGAGAGAGAGAGAGGGGGGGGGGGGCCCCCCACTCTACAGATATATTCCCATATATCTGTATAAAATATTAATTTGTAATTTTTTAATAACTGTTTTTGTAAAATATGAGGAAAACACGAAATTCACGAATAGAATGACATTTTATGAGAAACATTGAGAAAGATACTTGAATCTGAAATCTTAATCTGTTGTGATAGAGTGATTTTTGTTGCTTAAATTTCCATAAAAATGTATTAAGATATATTATATGGAGCATGCATTATCTACTTTTTTATTTTACAAAAGTGTCATAATTTCAAAAACATCATTTTTTTATTATTATCATGAATAAAGGCCGATTGTTCCATCTTTTGGTAAAGTTTATCTGTTAAGTAAGTAGCAAGATCACGTGCCAGATTTGCCCAACAGGTAAACCTTATCTGTTTACTGAAAGATGGAACAATCGGACCTAAGGTAAATATATTTTCTATCTATAACGAAAGTAAACTGTATAATAACTGTATAAATGATCGTTAAAACTCAGAAAGAGTGTTTTTTTGTTAAGAGATATGAAACGAAAATGACAAAAGTGATTATGTTAAAAACATTTTTCTTGCCCATCTGATTTGATGGGTCAATATTTTTCTGCCAAATTTCTTGAAAATAGTTTACCCGTTTTTTGTTTGGTTGTGCCATATGTATTATAGATATTAAAATTTGGAATAGAACGTGTCTGAAAAGTGACTGAAGTATTAATATACAATATAATCAAGTATCATCGTAATGAATAGAGATTTGGGCAAAAGTATCGATAAAGAATTTAATTTTTCGAATTTTTATTTCTCTCACTATTCTGTATTGTCATCAACGTGTTAATAAAATACATAGATTCTTTATTTTTCCTTTTACAAGCTATTACAGAGGATACAAATCATGGATACGATTCATCAGAGGGAGAGGGGGGGGGGGGGGGGGGGAGTAATACTATAGATACACGTGAGAATTTGGGTTGACGATATATGATCGCGGCTTATATTTGACCCAGTTCAATTTGCTTAAAATCTCGATATCCTTTTATTGCAAACGTCAAACTTGGTCTAACAGAATGATCGCACGATACGCATTTGTGATGTTTTCACATAGGTACTTGTAATGTGTGTGAGAGAGAGAAGCAGAGAACAATTCTATAGTGCAATGTAATTTTTTTATTAAAACGAAATTTGAAGAAATTTGAAGAGACTTTAAAGTAAATAATATATCATGTTTTTTCTTATACAATTATTAGGAATATTCGATTACGCGCGCAATGTACGCGCGCAAGAGGATATTCTTTATTATATTGTACAACTTGTATACATATATTAGCGAATTTGATAGTAGTAAGTTTGTCTCATGGTTCTCAAGCGACGAAGAAATTGTTTCAGGTCGCGCTGAGGCGGCAACAGGCCCAGGAAGAGAGTGAGGCGCGCGAGTTGGGCCTGCAATTGCAATACAATGCCGGCAGCTGCAATACTGCCCCCGTTTTGCCGGCGAGCGCTGGTGCGACGCCAGCTGGTAGCCCGCCCCCGCACCCGGCGCACGTAGCAAGTCCGACGGGTCTCGCGATACCCGCGGCCGCCGCGGCGGCCGCCGCTGCCGCTGCCGCGCATATCCAACTTCAGCATCAGCCTGCGGAATGTGGTCTTCTACCTACGAGGAAGAGATCTACCCAAGATGAATATCGGCAATCCAAGGTCGAAAAGAGTGATGCTGTTATCGGTAAGTGACTGAAATTGCAGGTTTAATAATGTTTTACTATATGTTATACTGACATACGCATAGTATAGTTTGATTTGAAGGGAGCTGCCGCTGATGTTTACTTTCGCGTCAAAATCTTATCTCAAACTGCAATTGCATTATTAAACTTTCTACCTATATATAATAAAAGATATACGTGACAATTAACGCAATTCCCTGCATGCTAATATAGTGCATATAGTGTCTTCGATATTTGAATAGCTGTGCGCTTTCATAGAGCGGAAAAGAGTATCGCTATTTAGTAAAAAAAAAAAAAAAAAAAGCTCAACACGGACCGGCGCGGCGCGGCGGCGGGCGCAATTAATAAACGGTGGCACGCGACTAAGAAGCGGGCGCGCATGTGCACACGCGTGAGTTGCGGACGAGTGCCCATTAAGAACGTGCGTATACCACGCCTTAAGTAGGGCAAGTGGCCGCAGGCCATAATGTTGTTAAGTAAATAATAGTCACAAGCTCGCGGGCCCTTATTATACTCGAATGCCACTCGAAACGAAAGTCGTACTCGTTAGTGACGGCCTTTAATTCTCTCCGTCCATTCGCTCGACCCTTTCGTTCTCCTTCCGCAACCTTCTTTTCCAGAACACGACTCGTTCTCGCGCGCACTGTTAAGTATATCTATAAACGAGGTGCACGTGCGCGCGCGCGCGCGCGCGCGTTTTCGTTTAGTTTACATTTTCAATATACTCAATGTCGTATACTATCTCGCTCCTCTGATAAATCTCTTGCATCTTGCTGACACCTTACCTTACTTGTGCTGCGTATCGACAAACCTACTTCAAATTCTCCAGCTTGTTCATTTCAGTTGTGATGAGAGAGAGAGATCTCAATGTATACACATATATTTAGCCTGCAATCGTATGTTTAAAAACCTTTGTTATTGTTTCGTATGTATATGTTTATTTCGCGTTACACGCGCATTTCTCGTTTACATAAACGATTGTTAAGAGTTAAGATCAAAGAAATCGTCATACCAGTAAATATATACGTATGAAAAAAAAATATGACACAGACATTTCTATCCGCGGAATAGGTATGCATTTCTACTCACGTATCAGAGGATCAGTTTCCTCCTTTCTTTTTTTCAGAGCTGATATCACTTTATTTCAACACAGTTGTAATCGATTATCGGTTTGTTACGAACACTCGAATCAATGTAGCGCTTTTATATCGCATTTCATTGTTACCTCTGGCAGTGACGTTCGAAAGAGATTGCCTTTCATTGCACTCGCGTTGCAAATATAGTTATGGTTAATCAAATCTACCTACATATTGTCATGTTTTATTACACGCGTGTCCATTCAGTTTGCACTTGCAACAAGAGTGTGAGGAATAATCTATTTAATTGCTCATCCGCGTCAACAATTGTTTATGTCTCACCCCTTATTAGTGGGATTCATCTTTTTTTGCTTCTTTTGCTCGATGGATTATTTAACAATATTTTCGGAAAAATCTTAAGGTTAAAAAATAGTTTTTAAATAAATTATTGTATATTTTTGCTTATATATTATTAAGCTTATAATTTGCGTAGATATCAAGGTGAAAGCTTAATAATATAAGCAAATAAGTACAATAAGAATCTAAAAGAGCATTATATCTTATTGAATGTTATATGTCACACGTCTCAAATTGCATAAAACATTTACCTTTACTTTCGTGCATGCTTTTTATCGATTTATATAATTTTTATTGTAAGCTACGTGCTTTCTGTCATATATCACAGAGTACCCGATTATATCGCGTAGTGAGCAGAAGAGACACGAAAAAGACGAGGAGGGCATGAGATCTGATAGCGATCGTCTTCTAGGCGAATTCAAAGAGTGCAAAAAAAGGGCAAACGATGTCGACGAAGAATATCATGAGCCAACATTTTCTTCCAAGGGGAGATGCTTCCATGATTCCGTATAGAACACGGAGTCTGTCACCGATGAAAAAACCGGAAAGATCGAAAGAAAAAACGTTCTCTAATTTTCTCAAGTAATTAAGGATTGATTCAAGTTTGAATTGTGAGTGTGTGTGGCGCGCGCGCGCGTGTGCGTGCTTGCATCTGTATAAATGTACAAATTTCTAAATCCAGAAGAAAGTGAGAAATCTATCAAAAATACAAAATTCGAACTACACATCAGTAAAATAACACATAAATTAATTAAATCAACAATTTTTAATTACGCAAATTTATTTCCTGCCATTTTATGATTTTTCAAGTAATATCTGTAAAATGTTTAGTTATAATGTTTATTTCATTTATCGATAAATTGGATGTCTTATCGTTATATTTTTTTAACATCAAATATATTGACCACATATACATTATAAATTTAACTTTTACAAAATCAAATTGTATTTATTTGAAAAGAAAAACAAATTAATCATTTTTTTAGATGTCAATTTAATTTAGGTTTCAATTTAAACATAGATTATTATACGTTGGCTCTCTCTCTCTCTCTCTCTCTCTCTCTCTCTCTCTCTCTCTCTCTCTTTCAATTTATTAATTCTCGATTTATTGTTCTGGCAGTTAATTTATTATAAAATTGTTTGTATTGATTTGCTGGTTCAACTCTATTTTATATAGTAATATTGATTGTTGAAATAATAAATGTCGTTAAAAAAAGCAGAAAGCACGAACGATAAAGATACTATCCCATCACTACAATAGAAACCCTTCGCATACACCTGGTTTCAATTACGATTCCGAATGTACCGCACGTACCTGTGAGACGAGGGAGATACGTAAGATGTCTTTCTGGCAGATCTTCGAAACAGAGTGCTTACACTAGTATAGAACCGAGAAGAGTCTCCGGTCGAGAAGTTTAGCAGTAATTGAATTTCTCGGACCAGTGCCTTCGACTGCGGGGGATCCCGAGTTAGCGCGCGCGCCCACACACACACACACACACATTCTCTCTCTCTCTCTCTCTCTCTCTCTGAGTAGGTCGGAGAGATCACGAGGTTGCTTGCTATCAAGTGGGTGGGTGTACTCTCGGTAGTGGAGAGAAACTCGACGAGCCCCCATTATATGGCGAATAGGGAAAGAGATATCTACTTCTTTATACTTAACGCTAAAGAAACGAATACTTAGGACTTTACAAAAAAAGGAACCTCTTTCTTTGAACTTGCGAAGAAAATTTCAGGGATAGATTAAGGTTCTTTTATTTCAACGTTTTCGCCAAGTAAGCATTGTTACTTTCGTTTTGATAATTTTTATTACGCAATGTGTTTAGATGGGAAGTAAGTAAGATGGAAAATTACTATTCTCATTACTTTCAATAATAACAATTTGATAATGACGTTGCAATTTTTTATGATGGTAACACGAACTGAAAGCTATAAAGGTTGGAAAGAAGTTTATTTTTAAAAATTAACACTTGTCATCACATCACACGCGTTGTTTATTGAAAAAGAAAAAATTCATTACTTGTAATGAATAAAAGTAACGAATCGACGCGTCACAAATATAGTATAATAAGTTTTTTTTAATAAATAACGCATAATGAAATGACAATAAATTGCTTTTCAAAAGTGATTTCCCCATCTTAGCTTTTAGTTAGTTATCGTTGTCGTCATAAAAAGTTGCAACATACGTTATTGCCAAATGATTACCGTTATTATAAAAAGTAACAACGGCAAAGTAGTAATGGCAAAAATAATGATTTCCATGCATCTTTGACAGTATAGCGAGAAGAAAGTTTTAATATTCATTGCTCTAATTTTCGTGATTTTCTTCCATGCTCCTCTTTTTCTAATAACGCTCATTCTTGAAAACTTGTCGATTGATAATTTATTATAATTAAATACACCTTTGTTGTTATAGCTATGTTATTTTAATCAAAAATTTACCTTATTTGTAATCGCAATGATCAGTACTCGTTAACTGCAAATTATCTTTCTCGATTATTAATTATACTGAAGAGGACTACTGTATGAGTCGAAACGTTTCGCTTTAAATTCTTGTTTGAAATTATTATAATAAACTTGGTCAACCGTTTAATATCATATGCTTGTTTATATTACCAAAGTTTGAATATCTTAATTTATCGTTTTAAAACGTAACAAGCGTTATCTTATTATTATTAATTATACTGTTTTAATATATTGACCACAGAGATTATTTTATTCATGGACACTTCTTTTCTTCTTTTTTTTTTTTAATTTTCGAGGATTAATTATGCATACGACACCAACATTGACTGATTTTTACCGAATTGAAATTGTTATATTTAACTAAGAGTATTTGCAATTGTTATTTTAATGTGAAATAATGTTTAATTTTGTTACATTGAAAATGACCCGATCGGAGTCAAAACGGTTGTATGTATTAGTTGTATGATTATTTGAATTAAATAGTTCATTAATTTACTTGGCTCTTTATATTTATATTATTTTAATCAAGTTTGTAACGTAATTATAAAGATAGTCATCAACAATAGATTGTCCGCGGTTTAACACGATGAAACAATACATATGAATAATACATATTTACTAATTTGATACGTTTGTCTATTATAATTATTGTAATTACTATACTAGTACCTATAATAGTATCCGCGATTGCTTGAAATTAATGTAAGACATTAATGTAAGACGTATTTTGCATACGCGGGCCTTTATTTTTGAGTGATTATTTGTTTAATTTGAATAACTAGAACTTTTTAGATACAACACACATAAACCCATGCTCTCACATGTATATATGATAGTTTGATTTTAATGTAATTGCGTGTATGACACGCACAATTGATTGCTACGAATAGTTTCGAGTTATTCATGAGTCAATTATATTAACTGACATTTACGAGCGACGAAATACACGAGGGTGCTGGGCTTCGCTTAGCAAAGGGAGAAGCGCGCCGCACGGTGCAATCATTACGTCGAAAAGGACGATGTAGAGATTTGGTCTTTCCGTTGAGATTCTCTATGGAGGAGGAGGAGGGAGTAAGGAGCAGCAGAGAGGCTTTGTAGAAACT